TATATATTTTGACTTTGAAAAAAAGCAGGGGAAAGATGCAACACAGCCACTGCAAACTGAGGCAGGTGGTGTCATGGTTAAATGCAGAGGCTTTGCATTAGAGGGAGGTGGGTTCTAATCCTGGTTGTACCACTGAACCAGCTGTGTGACCTTTTGACAAACTGGGTAACCACTCTGAGCCTTCATCATCCGTAAAACAAGGTCAGTAATCTCTACCTATTACTATTGTGTTGTTTGGAATAAATAATATAATGCATAGAAAGTGCTTAGAAAAGTGCTTGTCACATGATAATCACTTTAAAATTTTAGCTATTATTATTCTAATTCTATTGTAAAAAATAAATTGTAGATTATGTGGTTTGGGATTTATGATGTCAGAGTCCATTTGATTTGATTTTCTGTGTTGGAGGGTGACTTGGGCTTGGGGGTTGCTTTTTGTCTGAGGGCCGTGTCTCCGATAGACAGTAGTTCTTGTTGTAATGAGTGACATAGGAAATGACTGTGGTTTGCCGAGTTTGTATTTGCTGTCTGCGTCAGGCATTTATAGACCAGCATACATTCACAGAGTGCTGTGTTCACAGTGGCTTGTTTATTCTTTATCAACTCAGCTCTGCTGCTAATGAGCTGTGTGACCTTGGGGAAGAAATGTAACCTCTCTGATCTTCAGTTTCCTCTACTGTAAAATAGGAATAGTCATATTGGCTCTGCCTACCTCATGGTGTTGAAAGACTCATTTACTATACCTCTGAAAAATGAAATATGTCACACACATGTTAAGCAGCGATGATGAACCACTTTGGGATTTGGGGGAGGGGTGTGGCATTTTCATGTGAAGTTTACAGATGGGAAAATTGAGACTAGAGGTTGTCCCCTGGCAGGGACTAGGGTGGATCTTATCTCCCCAAAGTCCCTGATAAAACTGAGCGGTGAGCAACATTTGGATTTCTGAGCCAAACAGTCTGCCTTACCCTCACATCGTTAGGGCTGAGGATTTAAAATTGATCTGCGGGCTTTGTTTCTAGGAAACTGGCGTCTTAGAAGCCCACCCCCACAAGCAAGAGAACATGTCTCTTTCTCCTTGCTTCCTTATCCCTTCTTGGCTCTTAAAATTTTTGTCTTTATCACTGCTTATCATATGACTGGGCACAGACAACCGAACGCCAACTATTTTAAGGGGAAAAGGGGAGGAAGACAGATAAGACAGTGATTCAGAAAAGAGCAGGAAAGTGGAGTCATGTGGTCGTCCCCTGTGGGTGGGATGTACAGCAGTTTTTGAGACTGAGAAGGCCCCCTGAGTGCCTGGAGAGTAAATTAGGCCTGTCGTGAATGTGTTTTGAAGCCCTTCCCTGTGCTGGGAGAGATTCAGGGCCCAGAAGGAGCACATGATCCATAAGTCACGCCCTCCGGCCCTGCTCTGTGTCTGGGGCGTGCTACGTGCAGTGGAGGCTCCAAAGCAGAGGCCTTGGCGCCTGCCCCCTGGGAATAGGAAAGGGTGAAGCGATGCCCACTTGAAAAGACCGCTCACCTCAGTTTCAGAGTGAGAGGAAACTGGGTCTTGTCCTAACCTATTGGTGAAGGTATAAATTAGTGAAGCCTTTTTTTAGAGAGCAGCCTGGCTGGTAGTATCTGTAAAAACCAAAATGTATATAATCCAGATAATATTTATAATTAATTCCATTGTTAGTTATCAATCATATGGATATGTTACACCGATACTATCTGAGATCCAAACCATCGCTTGTCCCTGATGGCTGAAGGGGGGGGCCATGTTGGTGCCCGCATACCGTGAAGACTGCCATGTGACTTCTCTGATGGAATTGGGATTTTAGACAAGGGAGCATCATTTGACCCTTTCAAATTTAAGTCGATTAAGAACTTTCGGAGCTTTTGTCTATTTTTTTGTAGGAGGATCTGTTTTTCTTTTTGATGGGGAAAGACATGAGAAAAGAGAATAAGGGTACATCTTGTTGAGTTTTTCAAACCACGGGTCAGGGCCCATCCACTGAGGTCATGAGATCAATTAGGTGGCTCTCAAACAGCGATTTTAGATATGGAAATAGAATAGAACAATGTCAAAATGACCAGAATGCATTGCAGGCAGTAAGCATAAATATTACTTTAGAAAACATTTGCTTCAGTTTTATGTGAGTATTATTTATATGATGATCTTAATTCTCACTGTGGGTCCCAGTAAAAATTTTAAAAAATTTGAGAAATATTGGCGTAGAACACAATTTCTAATTTAACAGACTTTTGATGAGTACCAGTAAGAGGGAGATAAGAAAGGAAAGAAGATAGGTTTCCCTGCATTCAATAAGCTTCCAGTTGGACTTCCCTGGTGGCGCAGTGGTTACGAATCCACCTGCCAATGCAGGGGACAAGGGTTGGATCCCTGGTCGGGGAGGATCCCACATGCCGTGGAGCAACTAAGCCCGTGTGCCACAACTACTGAGCCTGCGTGCCACAACTACTGAAGCCTGTGTGCCCTAGAGCCCACGTGCCACAACTACTGAGCCCGCATGCTGCAGCTACTGAAACCCGCGAGCGTAGAGCCCGTGCTCCACGACAAGAGAAGCCACTGCAATGAGAAGCTCACGCACTGCAACGAAGCCCCGACACAGCCCAAAAAAAAAAAAAAAAGTAAGCTTCCAATTTCCTCACCCCCAAAATTCCATAAAGGTGGTGGCTTTTGAAGAATGGGTGGGATAGACTGCTTCTGGAAAACCTGCCTGAGTCTTCCTTAGTGAACAAGTTCACAACAATGTAGGATGCAAAAGTGACCTGATGAACTGAAATACCTTATGTTCTCAAAGAGCCCCCATCTCCTGACACCCCTGCAAATGGCATTCAGTATCAGATAGTGGTGCCTCAGTGTTCATGTGTTGAACTATCCGAAGTTAAAGGTTAGAGAGCTCAGTTCGTGCCCTGTGATGTGTGGTGGGTTTCTCCAGCACTAGCTACACTTCAGCCAGCACAGGATAGTTTTGTACTTTTTCATCAGGAATGTGGTGTCTTTGGAAAATAATGTGTTTTGACCTCACCCCTCATGGCACTGCACAAGGTTAATACATTTGTTCAAAAACCTGTACTGTTTCTCTTGATTTTCCCACCAAACTTGTATGGTGGTAAATAGATGTTCTCCCTCGTAATTTAACATTCGAGGACAACAAGACCCAGGGAAGTTAAATGATGAATTGGAGGCTGGGGCAGATGAATGAGGACCTGGGTCTCTTGGTTTTTAGGATGAGGCTATTTACTGCACAGGTACAGGTATATAGTCTCCCAAACACACGGACCTAGGGGACCCAGGGCCTGGTCCAGAAAGTATTGATATCAATACCATTATACACTTAATACCGTTATATATTTGTACATTTAAGCTGTATTCAAAAGGCATTCAGATGAATCAAAATTCCTTCCTAGGGCTTCCCTGGTGGTGCAGTGGTTGAGAGTCCGCCTGCCGATGCAGGGGACACAGGTTCGTGCCCCGGTCCAGGAAGATCCCACATGCCGCAGAGCGGCTGTGCCCGTGAGCCATGGCCACTGAGCCTGCACGTCCGGAGCCTGTGCTCCACAATGGGAGAGGCCACAACAGTGAGAGGCCCGCGTACCACAAAAAAAAAAGAAAAAATTCCTTCCTACCTTTCTCTTTCCCTCCTCTTGCTTCTCTCTCTCTCTCTCTCTCTCTCTCTCTCTCTCTCTTTCTCTTAGGAATGATCAGATGGAGGAAAGGTCCATGGAACATTTTCCCTCCAGCTGAAATTATGCAAAAACTGCTATTTAATAAGAGATATTCACTTAACGCTTATGTATAGATGGAAAACTCTTAAGAGCTCAGAACGTCGGTGATTTGATCAAAGTAAAAACTCCAGTAGAGACAGTGAAAATATGAGAAAACAGGTTTCCTCATTCCTATCAAGGTGATTGTATAGCTCTACCACATTGGATCCAACCATCACCCACCTACCAGGCTTCCATCCTCCAGCATTTTCCATCCATCCCATTTATTGGTCATAAGTTAATGCCAGTACCATGTGTCTAAAACTTTTAGTAAGGGTGGTTGATCTATTTATTTATCTTTTCAGTTTGCTCTTCAGCTGTTGACTGGGGCAGATGATCAGACCACCTTTGGGCTGACAAAAGTTGAAACTTGCCTGTTTGATGAGATGACCATTTGCCTGTCTCTCTGGGGTTGGTCTTTACATGTCAAGGGGATGGTAAAAACCGTGATGAGGGGTAATTTTTAAAAAATAAGTTCCCTTTTTCTTCCCCCGACTTCCAGAATTCTCTGGAGTGTCAGGATACGTTGATTTTGTAATTCAGCCTCCTGTACTGACAAGATCCTTCCTTTCAAGTTGGAGTAGGGTTTCCCAAAATGTGTTCTGCAGAATAAAACAAGTTATTCTTTCAAAAAAGGAATACATTCAAAAAAGGAATGCTGTGTCAAGTAGATTTGGCAAACAATGGATTAAATAAAGCAAAACGCTTACTGTAGGACTTTTCAGAGCCTTTAATGTGCTGATTTCCATTAGTCTTCTTTATGGCAATTGAGTGAATAGTGTTCCCAGACTCATTGGGCCATACAACACTGTTTGGGGGACAGTCCTTATATATCTTGAAGTAGTATCATTTAGGAAGTACTATCTGAGAATCTGGCCTCTACCATATAAAGCAAATACTACATATTTGGGGCTGTTGACCGAGGGAGACTGACGTGGTGAGCAGGAAGGGATCATTATTAGTTTCCGTTAATCTTTTAATTAATTTACTTATTATTTTATTTTATTATTTTTTTTCGGTACGCGGGCCTCTCACTGTTGTGGTCCCTCCCGTTGCGGAGCACAGGCTCTGGACGCGCAGGCTCAGCGGCCATGGCTCACGGGCCCAGCCGCTCCGCGGCATGTGGGATCTTGCCGGACCGGGGCACGAACCCGTGTCCCCTGCGTCGGCAGGCGGACTCTCAACCACTGCGCCACCAGGGAAGCCCCCGTTAATCTTTTAATCATTAAGTCTAAACCTTTGTTTTTTAAAAATAGGATCCCAAGTGTTGTTTATAGGCCTCTGACCCTAAAGGGAGAGAAGCTGAGGCTGGACAGTTGCTTTTATATGAAAAAAGGAGTGCAAACAGGGCTTTTATTAGTAGGATTTTCTACATGATATTCTAGTAGTTCATTGTTGTTCTGTCTTTAGCCAGTGACATTATAAAGCAGTCGCCAAGCTAATGTTATGCTTCCTGGGGTCATTCATATAGAATTACATGGGCTGAGGTCAGAGGCCCGTGGTTCCTCCTCCTTCCTGACTCAGGTCAGGCTGAATAGTATCCAAGTGCCATTTAACTCTTGCTCCTTCTCTTCAGAAATCACTTGTTACTGGGTTGCTACCAATCAACTCTATTGTGGAGGCATGTTTTAATATTTCATTTCCTTCTGTTTATTAGAAAAGATTGGGGGAAAGCTACATGCAAAGATCTGAGTGTGATCGTGGGAGCAGACCTGCAGTTAAAAAACGTGAAGGAGGCAAAGATTGATTTCAGGTTTTCATGTCTTTGAGGGCCCCTCCTCGCCTGGGGCCCAGTCAGGGCTCCTGGGTTCCTCTTGGCTGATAAACTCATTTACACCGGGTTGTCCACACATAATGAGTTACACAGGCCGGGGAGGGAGCAACCCTTCACCCAGAGGGCGATATCTCCACCTCTGGAGTTTTCAGATGTCAGTGATAGGTGAAGATGAGCTTTTTTGGCGGAGAGGAAGCTTTCAAACCAGGTACTGTCCTGTGACCAGGCTATTACTGAGACTATGTCAAGGGCTAGGGTCTTCACATAAACCTTCAGCAGTGGGTCAGGACCCAGCTCACCTATGCTGAGTGGACGTATCTCGAGATTACCTCACACTGAAATGCTTGTCTCCCTCGTCTGTGAGGGATTAGTGCTTTTCCGCTTTAAAGGAAAAACAGGCCATCAATTACTGAGGAATTTTATGGCACTGTCCAAAGCACAGTCTGGAAGCCAAGGAAAAATAAAACTCCAGCTTCTTTATGGAAAGTCAAATGTAAAAGAGAGATTGCTTCCTGAAAAGAGGGAGGCGCTGCCTAAGGGGAGCGGAGGGATAAGAGACTTGAATTTAGTCTGTAGAAACTCGTCTTCTGGTGCCCCTGAGGATTTTAGGAGAACTCCGGGCCTCAAACTGATGAACTTGAAGGCAAAGGGAAGCAGGGGGTTGAACTGTTTGGAAAGTAGGTGAGAAAAGTGATTATTTTTGGTAGCAAGATCTTTGTGTTTGGATTATGCCTGCTGTGGATCCAGTATCTTAATTTACATTCGCCTCAGCAAGGGGAAGAATTCCCTAGGTCATTCGTACACCTGATTCCAATTCGAGGCTTGTTAAATGTTGGAGAAGGAAAGGAAGGGATGGTGTGGAAGTTTCTGAGGCTGGCTGACCAGGGAGAAAGCAGACAGATCCTGGGGGCTGGACTTCATCATAAATTACAGACAGACAGAACACTCTAGAACATTGTATGTTGCAAAGCAAAGTAGGACCAGCACAAGAAAGCGCTTTGTACACATACGTGAAGCAGTCTCCTTTCTAGAAAATGTTTCCTCAAACTAGGAAGATCAGCAAGCCTTGTATCATCTTAACCTAAGCCTTCAACTCTTTTCAGCTGTCCTTTTCTGACAGTGGATACACATGATGCTGTAAGTCTTTGCGTTCATGCCTTTATCCCATCTCAGGAGCAGTGGGGGGATTGTGACCGTATGGGGGGAGTAGTCATTTCACTGTCATTTCTTGTTTCAGAATTGGAGTGAATCTGAATGAATCATAACAGTTGCATTTAATAAATTCTCCTGGGTATTAGCTACTTTTAAACCGGTCAGACGAGTTTTAAGGTCCATGTGGTTTGGGGAAATTCAGCGGTGCATTTCCTCGTTTGGTCACCCCTTATTTCCCTCCAACTTTGTTCCTTTTCAGCAAGCTGGTCTACTTGGCACAGTTATCTTTGATCATCTGAGGTAGGGAGGAGGGGAGACTGGGGAGGGGCTGGGCTGAAGGTCATGCAAGAAGCATTCAGGCCTCTGCTTGTTAGCCAGCACCGCTGGGAATTCCCAGGGGTCTTGGGGAGCTGGCCTTCAGCTCGCAGAGGGCCCCAGGTGGGAGGCCGCCATCCACCAGGAAGCTCCCAGCTAACACATGCCGGGCAGGGGAGGGGGCAAAACTCTGATGGTGGAAATGAAAGTATCTCAGCATTTTGCTTCTTTTCCTCAAGTCACCGCCTCCACTCCAGGCTCTGACACGAGCAGCTTTAGCCTCTCTACGTTGACTTTCTGCCTCGGCTCTACAATCATGGTGGTTAATGGATGCCAGGTGTGTTGGGTTTTTTGGCGAAGTTATTTACTACCAGAGTGGGGAGATCTTCTGGGTCATGGGAAGTTCAGGGAGCCCCAAGACAGCGTCACTGGAGGGGATCATTACCAGAATCACCCGCAATCTCAGGATGTCTGCCCCCACCTCCCCTGGCTTCTCTGCTAGATGTTCAGCCCTGTTGACGTTTCATAGCTCACCTGAGCAGGTGCCCCCAGGAGCCTGTATTTTGATAATTGTTTGCCTCACAGGGCAAGCATTACAGTGATTGAAGTGTTGCTCTGTGAAGGAGATTTTTAAAAACCCAAACAAGTGCAACAAAACCATTTAAAACATTTTAATAATTTCTTAAAGGATGCAGAGCCCTTTCCTCGCCTAACACATGCAGTTCAGAATGACATCAATAAAGACTATATTTTCACACTAAGAGGAGAACTCAGTTCAAGGCTGGAGTGTAGATAGAGAGAAGGATGGTTCTGCTTGAAGTAAATTCTGACCCACCCACCAAAGGAAAGCCAGGAAGTGGCACCAGGGGGTGCAGATACCATAACCCTTTCATTCTCTGCCAGACACACACATTGTTCCATTGTGATGGAAGATTTGTGGTTATGAAGAGGGTAGTGAAAAGCTCAGTCCAGGTTCTAGGGAGGTTTGGAGTAAAGGCAGCACACGCCCATCCTTCTGTGGTTAGTCACTGCTAGTTGCTGAAGGAGGGAGGTGTCAGGCATCTCCATTCTTCCCTTTTTTCTTCCTCATTTCTAGATCATTCACTCATTCATTCAACAGATCATTAGGGAACCCCTGCCTTGTGCCAGGCATCAAACCAGGCCCTAGGGATATAACTAGGTCATGATAGATGTATGCACCCTGACCTCAGAGACCTTCCAGTCAAATTGGGGGACAGATAAGCAAATGGGCAATTACATAGTATGGAAGTGCTGTGACGTGTGCCACTCTAAAGGGGCCTCGAACTAGGTTGTGGGGTAGGGAGAGGCTTTTGGGAGAAGATGACATTTAAGCAGAGACCTAAAATGAGAAACTAAAAACGTGACTGCATTGTGAAGTGGGGTGGTGGATGGGAGTGGGTTGGAGGCCTGGGCAAGAGTAAGATTTTTTGTGTCAGCTGGTCCCTCCCTCCCCCACCCTCCCCCTCCCTCCCCCTCTCTTCCTGTCTCCCTCCCTCCCTTTCTCCCTCCTTCTCTTCCTTCTTTCCTTAAGAATTAATCCTTGGATCACGAGGAGCTACTTTGCGCGCATAGCAATTTGTGAGTTTGAGCTCTATTCTGGGGGCAACAGGGGAGCCAGGGAAAGAGTTTTAAGCTGAGAAATAGCCTGACCAGATTTGCAATTTATCACCCTGGAGGATGGACCAGAGATAGATTGAAAACTTAGGGAACTGTGGTGGTTAACCCGTTAGAGATGCCGGTGACCTGGAGTGGGAATTGGCAGGGCTGATAGTGATCGGAGAAGGCAGAGCTGGCGGTGGATTGAACACGGGGACGAGGGTGGCTAGCATCTAGGATGAACCTCACGTTTCTGGCTTGAGCCATGGGATGGCTCTGGGTGTCTTTGTGGGTGCTGGGGTCTTTGATGGCTGCTTTAGATCTGCTTTGGGGAATTTCATCTTGGAATAGATAGAGCTGTTTAAGGTAGCGAACATGCGGACAGTTGAAACGTGAATTAAGTGATAGAAGGTCTGCAGAGATAGTGGGAAGTGAGATGAGCATATCACTAGCTTTTCCTGCCCTCTTCTCTGCCCGCACAGTGTAAATATCAACCTTATTTTATGTGAGTCTGAAATATCCTTTAGGACCAAATCAACCAAGTTGGTGGTTCATCCACTGATCCAGGAGAAAAGCTTTGTTTCTTTGTTGTAACAAGGGAATTTTGACTTACCTGGCTTTTCTGCCTTCCTCAAGTCTTTCTTTTTGGTTTTCTTGGATTATATGTGTATGTAAATACTTCATTATTGAAATTTTGGGCTTTTCTGCTTAAACTTTTAATATTCTACCCATGTTCACATGCATTCGGAATATACAGTACAATTCTTTTGAATTATATAGTGCAAAATATTCTTAAAATGTCCTTTTTTTAATTAAAAAAAATAAAAGAAACCAAAGTTAAGATTTAAAATTTTATTTTGGTATTTGTTACTAGTGTGATATAATTCTAGTGAAGGATCAGGTTTTAAAAATCTCTCCAATGTTGTTACATTCTGCAGATTGCAAATGTTTTGCAACAGCTCTTGCCAAATAAAAAATGCATGTGCTAGTTAAGGGCACCAATTGTTTCTAAACTTCTTTCTGATTTTAAGGGCACAGAGTAAACTTGGGTAAATCAGAGTGTTAAAACAAGTATTAGGTAAGGACATTTTATAGATGAGAAGTTAGAAGGCAAAAACATTTATATTAAGGAAAATTTGGAGGGAACTCTTCTTCCAAGACAATTAAATTATTTACCATTCAGAAATTTATCCTGGAATTTTCTGGAAACCTTTTTCATTTCTCTGAGTGTAAGCTCAGGCTCAGTGGACTCAGATTTCACAAATACAATGTATTTTTAAATTCTAGAAGTCATGCATCTGTGGGCATTTGGGAAACTTAGTGCAAATAAAATGAAGAGATAAATATTTCAATTGTTTCTGCTTTATTCTCCTTCCATTATCTCATTATCAGCAAGGTTCATCCTTGATGAAGCCTAGACAAGTGGAAAGTTTCTCATTTTGAAGTTTAGTTGTTTTTTAATTGGTCACGCCAAAGAAAGGCTTACATTGATTTTGGAAGACAAAACATGTCATTGTTTTTTTCACTCATGCCCAACTCCTACATGGCTGACTGGATATTGTTCAAATTTTCCAAAAGAGAAAGAAACACCCTTATTTTGGGTCAGAAGCCAATCATGGAAAATTTCATCCCAAAAGGATAATTTTTCATAAACATGTAAGCAGCAAATGGCAACGTGACTACAATAAACTCTGCCCCTGAACTTCCATAGAAAATCTCTCGCTGTAAATACTCAACTTCAGGCACACACATTAGGTCCAAAAGAAAAACACAGTATCGGAAGCCTAATTATGCATTTCCACTGGAACTGAGACATCTTCTTCTGAGACCTGTAGTGGGGTAGGCACAGGCCCCAACTTCGTTTTTATTCCTCATTCATTCAGTTTTATAGCATGTCTACTATGCAAAAGGTGGTTTTGCTAGGGAAAACTCTGCCCTCTGCAATCCAGTTTGGAAAATAAAGTACACATATATTAAAATCTAAGTCCATTTGTAATAAGTGCCAAGGATGTGATAGAGACAGGAAGCACTATATATCTAAGAAGGTCAAGCTCATGGGTGTACGGGCTCTAATAGTTGGGGAAGTCCTAGAAGAAGTGGAACTTGAGTGATAGGCTGAAAGATGGGGTGGATTGAAGCACATGTGCGATATTTACACAATGAAGCGGGTGTGGGGAGCGTGTGATCGCAAAGAGCAGGTAGCCCGGCGCCTGCAGGTGTATGTGGGCCTCTGCTATGGGTTTGTTGATTGACCTGTGTAGACACTCTGCTCTTCCGTCATCTGGGTTTCTGCCAGCTGGAACAGAGAGGCTGGCTCAGCTCAGCCCTTCTGGGTTTTGCCCGAGGACTATGCAAGGTGAAGGTGAAGTCTTTGCCCAATAGGGCAAAGGTCATGGGAAATCTATTTTCCAAATCCAGGCTCTGCCTATTTCCTGCACTTTTATTCCATGTTATTAGATCTAGGAAGGGGTTTAGCGTCTTTCGATGTTAATAGAGGATTTTGAGAGAGAGGGTATACTGAGAGAGAGAGAGGCAAAGAGAATCAGAGATGAACAGGTGTGTGTTGGGATGAAGGGTGAGGGTATGGGTTTGAAGCTAGCATTCACAGATGTGGTGCTGGCTGTCCTAGAAACAATAAAAGTCACCAGACAAATCATGAAGGGGTGGATTTGTATTGGGAAATTTCTAGAGGCTGTCAACTTTGTTGAGTTTAAATGGTGAGCACTAGCCATCACAGGAGGCCTCGCTGCAAGATTTGTTCTTTCCAAGTTAGGAGATTCTGGTGTGTTCAGGCTAATAGAATGGACTCAGCATACCCCTGTCTCCCCTCACTGGGAGGGAGAATGGAAAAAGAGGATCATCCTCCTGATATCCCAAATATGAGCTAATACATGGTAGGGATGCCCACCCCAGCCCTTTAGGCTCAAACCTGTTCCTTTGACTGATAGTTTTTTGGTGCCCAGGGTTAAACATTAAAGTCAAGCTGTTTATATGCTCAGGACATGGAGAGCCAAACTGGGAAAGTAAGATAAAGCACAGCCCACTTCTGCCATTAGACCAGAACTCACACACTCTTGGATATATGCATACCTCCATAACCAAGGCATCTTGCTGTTGAATGATCTTCAGGAGAGCAGAAAAACATTTGAACAAATGTCCATATTATAGAGACTTGCCCATAGCCTTCTACATTTCAGCTTGTGAAGGTAAATGAGGAGGTATGGTTGTCTCAAGGTGCTTATAAAAAAATCTGACTGATACACATAAAGCAGAGCTTTGTCCTAAACACTCTACAGTTCTTATACATCATATTTGTTCTTCACTCAACAGACATTTATTGACTACTATGCTCCAGGCACTGTGCTAGAGGTTAGATATTTTAAACCTTGAGAAACTTAGGCATTACAACCTATAAAATGTCATTTAAAGACATCGTATTTTCTTCCTATACTTACTATAACCACTCTTCATTTTCCTCATGATAGGAAGTGATTGTGATTGAGTATCGAGGGCCACATAGTTATTCTAGACTTTAGCCAGGTGTTTTTTTAAATTTCCATTTAGATATTGGTCCTGTTATATTTATCTGTAAACCAAGTCATAAAGTTTTCAGAGTGACCGGGTAGGAATTTATGCACATCACTAGAGGCCAATCAGATCTGTTTTGGTTTTAGTGTTTTTACCTGTGGTTAATGCCCCGTTTGACTCCTTAGGCAATTTCATCTGTGTTATTATATTCCAAAATTTGTCTAGTTGTGTTGGTTATCCCTTCCTCGGCCTGGGGGTGAGACCAGGGATACCAGAAGCTAGGGTCATTTCTTGGTGACACAACTACCAGGCCCACATGAGTGGACAGGAATGGGTAATGCCTATGGGAATCCAAACACTGAGACTGTGAGAGGAATGCACACCCTGTATTTAAAACAGCAAAGGGGCTGGGTTCCCCCTAAGTGAATACAGTCAGCAGTCGCTACTCCTATAACGTGTATTGTCTGGGTCACTCATTTGGCACTTATTACATCCTGTCTTGGGTTATTAGCAACCGTGGCATGCATCTGTTTTTTCCTCCCCAGCTACACTGCCCCGTTGGTGTAGTTACAGGCTTTCCTCCCCATTCAAATTCTTTCCCAGCGCTCTTTATGGGGAGCAAACTTGATGATTGTTTTTATTATGAAATAGGGGTGTTTGATTTATTAAAATATAAGTATTTTTTTCAAACAATTATAAATTGCCTAATCGAGCCTACTTCTAAGAAACAGATTTATTGAGGCATCGTTGACATAGAATAAACTACATGTGTACAGGTGATAAGTGTACAATTTGATAAGTTTGGACTCGATAACTTTTTTTTTTCCAAAAAAATTCAGTAAGCACCGACTTTGTGTAAGTTGCCAATCTAAGAGTGTGAGGTAGGAAGTTTCAAAATGACGCTTGTGTGGTGGTGAGGGGGTGATTTGGCTCCCAGATGACTTTCCAATTGTAGTTTTCTGCCTTGGTGAGTTGGGGTGCTTCTGGGATGCAGTGGACATGTGATAAATCCTGCTCACTGAAGGTCATGTGTGTGTAGTCGTAAAGTCTTCATCTCTGTGCCCTTTAAAAAAGTAGTATTTTACGTCTTTTATTTGTTTATTTTTTAATGAAGGACAGTTTTTAAAAATATATTTTTTCCCAGCTATACTGAGGTATCATTAACAAATAAAAACGGACCTATTTAAAGCATACAACATGCTGATTTGATATACTTATATATCGTGAAATGATTACCACCATTAAGTTAATTAACATATCTGTCACTTCACGTACTTTTTTTTTTTAATGGAGGATCGTTTATAATGCCCTCTGCAACTTAGGACATTTTATCCTCTTGACAAATCCAGATGATTTTACTTTCTGAGTGAAGGGGTGCTGGCTGGCCAAGGCTTGGTTGGAAGATTCAGTCAGGAAAGTAGGTGGATATTCTTATTGCTGCAGAATCTCTTCCTCTCTGGATCCTTCTTTGATTTTCATAAGGGCTGAGTGAGTCCTGCAAGCAAATTGAGTGCCAGGGCAGGCCAGCTGAGTGTTAATTGATTCTAATTAACACCCCCATAGACTGTAACAATTTTTTTTTCCCTCCAAGCAGTCAGCCAAGTGGCATTAGGAAAGGTGAGACATCTTTCTTTGGAATCATGGAAGAGGAAAAACTATTTTCAGGCTCTGTCTCTGCAAGTCCTGCCTTTCTCAGGAATAGGGAGGAAGTGAGATAAGGAAAAGAAATACCTGAGGAGACAGGTGCCAGGAAATATTCACTCTAAACCTAGCTGTGGGCTTAGTACAACAGGAAGAAGATGCTTAAGGTCTTTGCACTCAAGTACCTGCCAGTCGAGTTGGAAAGAATGAGAGATGGGATGTAATCAAGCCTTAATGTTTCATGGGAGCTGGGGAAATGTTTCTTGGGAGCAGTATTTATGGACATTTCAGAAGGCGTTTTCTTACCTTGAACGAGTCATTAGAGCTGGAACTGGACGCTGCTGCCAAGAGAATAAAGTCTAAGAAAACAAACAGTCTGCAGACAGTCCTGAATGCTCCCTCCCCTTTCATCCACACTCAGCGGGGACCCAGTGCCTGCCTGTAGTAGTAGAGGCTCCCGTTTTCCCATCCCTTGGCAAGGCAGACAGTTTCCATTAATGGGCAGCTAAATTTGCAGCCAATTCTCAATCATTTGTGGTGTTAGGGGGACAGAAATAATGTGGGAAGCTAGAGCCCCAAGTCAACCCAAGGCCTTACTAGTCAGAAATTTCAATCTTTCTTGCCATCTAACACCACAAACAGCTTCAGAGTACAACTGGCTTGGTCTTGGGGGACTTGGGGGAGGGAGGAAGTGAGAAGTTATGCCAGAGCTGGACAAAATTGTGAAGTGAGGTGGGGATATCTTCATTCCCCTCCCCTCCGTTCAGTAATGCGATGGTTTTGATGGTCACTTCATCAAAACTTACTCTCCGACACATGTGCTATCAGCCATGTAGACCCCAGTATGACTGTAAGCCTCTGGGTTCCCATTTTTAGGAAATTTGCCTTTTGAATTTGGGTCTTCTTGGTGAACCGAAAGGCCTGGGCTTCTGGTGAAGGAATCATAAGGAGTTGAGGAATGGGCAGGCCCGATTCTGAGATGACACTCGGGAGGAGAAGGCCTGCCTCCTGTGCACTCAGGAGAGCACCGCGGGCAAGCTTCACCCTGGGTTTTCAGAGATACGAGCTAGGCCCACGGTAGGAAATACCTTCTGCCTGTGGCACAGGGCGCACACATGAGGAGGAATGGAAGAATATTTACCTTCCTACGTGAGAGGCACCTGATCCATTTTAATAACCTATGGCTTAATTTAAATAATGTTGACTGGATCTACTAAACCGATTCCACTACCCACAAGTAGCATGTGAGTTACAGGGCCAGGCCAAGCTGCAGTTTTGGGTTTCCTGTACCAGGGCGCCTAGTCAGGGGGCTGGTGTGGGCAGAACCTTGACTCTCATTTCTCTTGCCAAGCGGGTGCCCAGACTTGGGGCTGGGTCTTCCAGAAGAAGGGGTGCCTTTTAGAATGTGTACATGGAGTGATCCTTGTGCCCAAGACTTGTATGCATGGGACTTGTGTTCCCCACCCAACACCATTTGGAATTTACAAATAAGATCTCTGTGGCTGGTAGTGTCCTGACAGTAGGCACTGTGCAGGAGAAAGAGAGGGTAGAAAGGTACAGGTCAGGAGAGACTAGATCCAGAGTGAGAAAGGATGCCTGCTATGGCTCTGGCACTGGTGAGAGTACAGTTGACGGGGATTGGTTCCAGCGCCCCACAGATACCAAAACTGGTGGATGCTCGAGTCCCTTATCTAAAATGGTGACGTATTTGAAGTATATAATCTGTGCACCTCCTCCTGCATATTCAAATGTCTCTAGATTACTTGTAATACCTAATACAATGTAAATGCTATGGAAATAGTTGCCAGCATGCAGCAAGTTCACGTTTTGCTTTTTGGAACTTTCTGGAATTTTTTTCTCAAATATTTTCTCTCCATGGTTGGTTGAAACCTTAGATGTTGAATTCGCGGATATGGAGGCTCCAACTGTATCTGTTCCCGGCTTCTTCCTTGCGTCCCATTCGCTTTGTGGTCAAAAGATCAGGAAGGTGCTGAACCACGACAAGGAGAAAAGGGCCCATGTGACACTGGCCACTGCTTCTTAGATTTCTCTGAAGGGAGGAGCTAAATTTCCGTCTGTGATGGAAAAATTGGGAAAGAGCAATAAGGAAAAAATACATGTAATAAAAAATGAAAATAAACAATAAAGGCAGCAAATATCTGTTGAAAACTTTCTCTGTACCAGAGACTGAATCAGATACTACATTGTTTAAATAGCTTCTTATAGTCACCATGGATTACAATAAATTCTTTTGAAAAAAGATGAGATTTACCCATCTGCATGAGCGCTCTCATTTGAATTCTGTGATTTTTCTTTATTTCTACCTAGTCACTAGGCATAAATTTCCTGAAAACAGAAGAGACTCAACTACTGTTATTCAAATAACGACCATTTTGCCAGGAGGGAATGTCAGGGAGTTAATTAAAGCTAACAAAACCATTGCCAGGTTTCCTAGGGTAAGGAAAAGTTTTCTTTTCCCCCCTGTTCTTTTTTTTTTTTTTTTTTTTGGTACGCGGGCCCCTCACTGTTTTGGCCTCTCCCGTTGCGGAGCACAGGCTCCGGACGCGCAGGCTCAGCGGCCATGGCTCACGGACCCAGCCGCTGCGCGGCATGTGGGATCTTCCCGGACTGGGGCATGAACCCACGTCCCCTGCATCGGCAGACGGACTCCCAACCACTGCGCCACCAGGGAAGCCCTCCCCTGTGTTCCTGATTACACTATGGAAAGCATAGAAGACTAACAGGCATTTCTTTTGTGTCACTCAGAGTTTATCATTCAGCAAATACTTACTGAATATCCACTGTGTTGCAGACCCTGAGTAGGAACCTGGCATGAAGCAGGACTAAGAAATCCTTGACCTCAGGGAGCAGGGTTGAGGGGAAGGTAAGGCTTACTCATGAGCAAGAAAGGGCCCTGAGACCCCCTTATATGGGGATCACTAAGGGTCCTACTCAGTGTGTACCAGTTAGGATTAAGTGTGCCTGCATGTGATAGAAAACCTAAATTAACAGTGGCTTAAAGAGACAAAGTTTTATTTTTTCAAGGGTAAGAAGTCTTGATCAGGGCTGATATGGTATTCCAAGATGCTTTCAGGGACCCAGGGTCCATCCAACTTTCCACTTCACCATCCTTAGTGTGTGGTCCTCTCTCACATGGTCCAATGTGGCTGCCAGAGCTCCAGCTCCAGTGTGGCTGCCATAGTCATTCTAAGAGAAAGAGAAGAAGGAGGGCATACTTTCTCCCTTTTAAGAAAGGTTGGGAAATATAGTCTTTATTCTAGGCAGTCATATGCACAGCTAAAATTCAGGAGGTTTATTACTGAGGAGAAGAGGGGAGACTCGATATTAAGGTAAGCAACTAGCAGCCTCTCCCCAAGCACGGGGTAAAGGGATGTGGGAAAGCTTTGTAAAGGAGGTGGGATGTGACACAAGCTTTCATGGACTGGGTAGTATTTGGATGAGATTGGCTGACACCCTGTTCACTGTACACTAGACCCATCCTCTGCTGTGGCAGTTGTAATAGAGCTTGCGAAGGTCCTCCTCTGGCAGCTTGGTTGCAACTTGTCCGTTGATAGAGCCCTGACCACCCAGTAGTCCCAAGAGTCAAGTTGTAGCTTAGCATGTTTTGATTATTATTGTTATTTAAAAATTTAAGTACAGGAGATTTTGTAGGTATAACCGAGGAAATCACACCTGCAAGTTCTTAGAATGGAATCTTAGTTCCTTGTTTTTGGTCATCCACAAAACATACTCCTGACCCTATCAAGCATGGCAAATAAAGGGGAGGGGAAGGCAAGCCGAAATCCAGAGAGACCCAGCAGGGGGAGTGCAGTGGGATGGTCCTAGAGAAAAGCTTTTCCTTCTTCATAATTTCCTTGCTTCTGTTTCCCCCACATCCCAGAGTGGATATTGGCAGTTTGATATTCTCCCTCCTTTTTTTTTTCTCCTCTGAGCTTCTGCAGAATACAGAGCCAAGCAGGATTCCATGGATTGTTAAGGGTCATGCTGCCAACAAAATAAGGATGTCTAATACCACTGCCTGTATTAAACATTGTTCTGTAGGTACTCGCTGAGGCACCTGGACAAGAGAAAGTATACCTGTGGAAAGCAAGAGGTGGAATTATCATTATATGCACGTGCTATGCTTATATACTAAATGATATACTGTTTATTATAAAAAACCAGAGAGTACAGTAAGGTAGTTCGACACGAAATTAATATACAAAAATAGCTTTAGAGAAAAACAACCAGGTAGAAATAGGAAATAGAGTGGAAGCAAAGACTCCATTCATAGCAAGGATAAGTGAGAATAATTAAGATGAGCTAGTTTTACAGGATATTATATATTTTAAGTGATATTATACATATTTAAGTAGTATAATACTGACCCTTGAATAGACAGGAAGATCAGTAGTATAGAACAGAATCCAGAACTAAGACACCGATATATATATGGAAACTTTGTCTTTAGATAAGGGTGGCATTTTATATCAGTAAGGAAAATGATAGGTTATTCAATAAATAGTTTGAGACAACTGGATAGCCATCTGGAAGAACAAAAATTGGAACAATACCTCACTTCTTATGCCAACATAAATGCCAGATGGATAAAAATTTAAATATTAAATGTAGTAGAAGACAAGTTTTAAAAGTCTTGTGGTAATACAGTCTTCCTAGGTATAACACAAACCCTAGAAATCATAAATAAAAAGATTTATATATTAAATTTCAAAAAACTGAAAAAACCCAGGCCTCATTGAGGCTAGGTCCCTGACAGCTTCATGGACAATCAGAAAGTCAAGAAACAAACAATGAACAGAGAATTATGTATAAAAACCAAAGGACTGGGCTTCCCTGGTGGCGCAGTGGTTGAGAGTCCGCCTGCCGATGCGGGGGACACGGGTTTGTGCCCCGGTTGGGGAGGATCCCACATGCTGCAGAGCGGCTGGGTCGGTGAGCCATGGCTGCTGAGCCTGTGCGTCCGGAGCCTGTGCTCCGCAACGGGAGAGGCCACAACAGTGAGAGGCCCGCGTACCGCACACAAAAAAAAAAAAAAAAAAAAAAAAAAAAAAACAAACCAAAGGACTAATATCCTCTATAAAGAGCTCTAATCAATTAATAAAAGATCAACAACATAATGGAAAAATGGGGAAAGACAAGAACAGATTATTGACAGAAAAAAGAAATAAAAGTTACTCACATATATAAGAAGATATTCAACCTACAACAGGGTTTGTTTGTTTGTTTTTTGATTATCAGAATGGTAGTTAAAATTTTTTTAACTATCAGAATGATAAAAAAATTTATCATTGAGAGTGAAGGGAACCAGACATTCAAGCATAATGGGAGCATAAATTGGAACAACTTCCATGGTGGGTGTTTTGATGCTCTTTTATGAAAATAAAAAGTGCACATTAACTCAATAATTCCACTTCCAGAAATGCTATCCTTCAGAAATATTTATGTGTAAAGATATGTATGAGAAGATTCATTGCCTCATCTCAATGTCTTCATTACTCTGTGTTTCATTCTGCTCATCTGTGAGGTGGGAATAATGATTCTAGTTTCCTGAGACTTGAAATGGCTGGTATAAGAACATCTCAGAAACAAGCTAGGCTGCCTGAAAGAAGAAGAAAGGTAGTCTTTAAATTCAGGACATTATTCTGCTGTTTCAGAAAAACGGTCTCAATTATAAAGCGATTGGCTGTGCTTTGAAATACCAGGGCAAAGCCAGCACAGCCATGCTAGGTTTACACCTGCTTCGCTACTCTGGTATCAAGAGTTGTGTTTGGAAACACTTGGAAGGCCTTTGGAGGCCAGCGTGATGGAATGGCTGGTAGCCTTTTTGGCACAGGGCCTCAAGAGATGGAGCAATGGGTCAAAGCACACCTCACCACTTGGGGACATGTGGCCCGACCTTCCCGAATGCCTCAAGATGGAAGCTCTCCTAGGGCTGTCTTCCTGGGTCCAGCATGTGGAGAGCCCTCAGATTTGACATTACTTTCACACCAACATTAATTTGACACAGATAATGATGCAACCTGTTACACAGCCCATCAGCATAATTATAGGTAAGGAAATTGCTAAGGGAGGTCCCTGAGCAGTTGGAGGCCAGAAGGAAATATTTTCAAGTAATTAATGGGTGACAGGTGAAAGATTTTATTATTAAAAAAAAATAAGAGGGCTTCCCTGGTGGCGCAGTGGTTGAGAGTCCGCCTGCCGATGCAAGGGACACGGGTTCGTGCCCCGGTCCGGGAGGATCCCACATGCTGCGGAGCGGCTGGGCCCGTGAGCCATGGCCGCTGAGCCTGCGCGTCCGGAGCCTGTGCTCCGCAACGGGAGAGGCCACAGCAGTGAGAGGCCCACGTATTGCAAAAAAAAAGAAAGTCCTAGAATAAGATGTTATAGCTCATATCTGTCCAGAAAAGGATATATACTAGAAGAAGTTAAGCTGAAATTCACGGAGGCTCAAACTTTGATTTTAATCTCTTTTCTTCTTTAAAATATCATTTTAAAATACTTTGTTATATTTCCTTGTTTTTTTTTCTCTTAACCCCCAAATAAGGCCTAAAAAAATAACCATTCTGGGAGTTCATAAACAGCAGAGGCTAGAATTTACCAAAACAAAGAGAATTTAACTTGGATGAATACATTATGCATAAAAAATAGAGCATCGGTCTGGGCTTTGTTAATGGCAAACACCTAAACCACCAAATGATTGTGTTGATTTTGTGGGTTTCTTGAAAGAGACCAAGTATTTAGAAACTCTCTGACTTATGTAACACTTCAGCTAGAGCATTGGTTAAGTCAAGAAAAATAAGGCACGGGGAACAGGATTTCAAATAGAGCTTCCTATCTGATTGGAAGAATACACTGTAGTGATGTGTTACGATCGTTTTATAAATTGCACTGATAGCAAATGCACCTTGGGCCTGGGGTCAAGGGCATTAGCTGAAGAGACTGTTGTATCAGAAGGCTTCTGAAATGCCTGCATGAAGCAAAATTCAACAGTTGAGCATCAACAACATAAGCGAATTGGTGATGACCTTTTGGGAGCTCATGTTTCAAAGCAGATCTCACTGATGTGGCCAGAACCTTAAGAACACAAGGAAAATGAACCAAATGTTGCAGGCACAGATGAGCCATCTGCCTGCTCTGTTGAGAGCAAACCTCATACAGGAAAAACAGGGTGAAAGAAACGTGAATGAGTTAGGGAGCATTTCTTTGCTTTTCATGAAGGGAGAGATTTAAGCACAACTTGTAGCATCTTGGGAATAGAATTTGATTTAAAAGAAAATCTGGATCACAGATTCCCTGTTTTAAGCATGTCATATAAATAAAACAAACAGCAGTGACGCCTCATTTACCTGGGGAGTAGATTTCAGGTAACCCTGGGCAACCGGAACAGGGCCATGAATACGGAAGTGCTGTGGAAGAGCAGCGAGAACTGAAGGGCCAGAGGTCCAGCCTCCAGCCACCCTCAGGCCATTTTCTGGACCTCGGTTTCCTCATT